TTGCCACCTTCCTCACCACTCCCAAGTGTTCCTGCCACTGCCCGCCCACACACTGATCTTCATCACCAAGGATCAAAGTTAAAACCGACTTTTTCCAGTCTTAGAAGCCGATTTTTTCCCCTCCTTCTCATTTCAGATGGGAAGTTTGAACTGTCGTCTGACAATTCAAAGCATTTTGAATGGTACACAAGAATGGGAAAAGAAAATGCCAGACAGGATTTTCTTACCAAAGCTAATCAGTTTGTCAAATCCATAATTTTAAACATGTTTGTAAACTGCAACCTCACCTCAGTAATGCAGCATGACTGACAATGTACTTCTGTGACAGCAGATGTGCTAAATGCCTCCTTAGATGCATTTTCCAAAATACAGTTATGCAAGAGAATTATGGATTTGATATGGACTCCAATATTGCCTGTTATCCTTCAGTTTTTGCATAGATCACTATATCTGAAAATTCTCAGAACAGTAATTTACAAAAGGATAAATATAAGTTTTGAGAGCATGTCTACTTAGGCAACCTCTTCCTGAGGTCTGTTACTTTAACTGTATGGCTTTAGTACTTTCATGGAACGTGTTTCATTTCAAAATTATCTTGATTGTGTTTTCTTTCTCTCTCAGTCTAACACACAACAGATCACAGATTTCCTTTCCAAAACACTGTTCCCAGACACAACTTACTCACAGCTATTCTACACCTCAGAAGCAGAGGAACGTTTCCCTCTCAGCAGCACATTGTCAGAGTCACGTTCACCCAGTTGATGTGAACTTCACAACACGATGTGTTCAGCAACGCGCTGAACACACACCAGTCCCACCAGGACTGGAACAAGCACACTGGGAAAAAGCTAATCCAGACTGCTGCGAGGTGAGGGCAGAACTGCGACCAGGAACTACGGGTCACACCGGGCGACCACAGAGAGACACGCAGCCCCTGGAGGAGCCCAGCGGGTGAGGGAACTGGAGCACCCCTCTTACAAGGAAAAGCTGAAGGAACTGAGTCGGTTCAGCCTCGAGACGGCTGAGAGGGGACCTCATTAACGTGTATAAATATCTGAAAGGAGGCTGTAAAGAGGACTGGGCCAGGCTCTGCTCGGTGGTGCAGAGCAGTAGGACAAGAGGCAACGGGCAGAAACTGATGCACAGGAAGTTCCTCCTGAACACGAGGAAGAACTACTTTACTGCGCGGGTGACCGTGTGCTCGAACAGGTTGCCCAGAGAGGGTGTGGAGTCTCCTTCCGTGGAGAAGAACCGTCTGGGCACAATCCTGTGCCACGTGCTCTAGCACGACCCTGCTTGAGCAGGGAAATTGGACCAGACGACTCACTGTGGTCCCTTCCAACCCGATCCATTCAGTGACCTGCCGGGCGTGTCATGCAGAGCACGACCAGGATGCCACCCGAACCCCATCCCCTCACACGCCTCCCTCCCGCACTGGCACTCCGAGAGCCGCTTCCCGGACCACTCCGGTCGCCTGCCCGGCCCACCCCGCCGCAGATCGCAGCCGGGCACCCCTTCGCTGCCCCGGCCGGGACCCCGGTCCCGGCCCCTCCGCGCACGGCGGGGCGAGCCCGGTCCCTGCCGCCACTCCCGGCGGCGCCGCCCCCCGCTCACCATCTCCTCGTGGCCGGGCCCGTCGGGCTGCCCGGAGCCTCCATCGCCGCCGGGCCCGGGGCTCGCCCGCCCCTCGGGGGTCTTCCTCTCGCTCGCGCCCTTCCCGCGCCGCGCCGCCCGCCGCCCCCACAGGTAGATGGCTCCGGCGCCCAGCAGGATGGGCGCGCCCAGCACCAGCGCCAGCTGCCAGCGGGACAGCCCCGCGGGGCCGCCGCCGCCCGCCGGCTCCACGGGCTTCGAGGCGGCCATGACGCCCGGGCGGAGCAGCGGGAGGAGGGTCAGCGGACACGCGGGGCTCGCCGGGAGCGCGGGGCTGAGCCGAGCCGCGCCCGCCCGCACCGCCCGCACCGCCCCTGTCGGCCCGGCGGGGCAGCGCAGCCCCGGGGGGGAGACCGGCAGAGCATGCGGGCCGCGGGGACGCCGCCGGAGCGGGAGAGGTGTCAGCCCGAAAACGCTGGAGGGGCCTCGGGTCTGGACTGATGTTGCGCGGAAGGAGTTCTGGGCCGCTCACACGCGGAGTGCGCTCCACCTCTGGAGCGCTGTGTCCGGCTCTGCGCTCCTCAGGACGAGAGAGACGGGGAGCTCCTGGAGCACGTCCGGTAGAGGACAACGAGGGTGATTAAGGGACTGGAGCATCTCTCTTTCGAGGAGAAGCTGAGGGAGCTGGGTCTGTTCAGCCTCGAGAAGAGACGGCTGAGAGTGGACCTCACTAAACTGTGTAAATATCTAAAAGTGGGCGTCCAAGAGGATGGAACCGGGCTCTTCTTGGTGGTTGCCAAGCGATAGGACAAGAGGCAAGAGACAGAAACTGATGCACAGGAAGTTCCTTTGAACATGAGAAACTGTGTGGATGACCAGAACAGGTTGCCCAGAGGGGTTATGGAGTCTCCATCACTGGAGATACTCAAGAACCGTCTGGACACAATCCTGTGCCTGAGCAGGGAGTTTGGACCAGATGATTCACTGTAGTCTCTTCTAACCCGACCCTGTCTGTGATTCTGTTCTTCTGTGATTCTGTGTAGTTTCAGCTAATACGAGTGATTTAAAGTCTCTAGGACTTTGTAGTGGAGCGTTTTGAAGCAATCTTTGTTATAAATGACATCTTTAAGTTATTAATTGAGTCTGTCTTAAAAATAATTTAATATGCAGTACTGGAATTTGTACTTGTAGTGTATGTGTGTGTGTATGCCTACGTAGCATCCTTACCTGTAGGCAGAGGAAGCTTGTGTTTCTGTCTCCACTTATTTCCATGGAGCATGTGGCTGAGGAGGAAGACAAGTTGTCTTTGATACATTTTTATACTCAGAAAGCTCTAGTCTTCTCACGGCTAGAAATTTCATTGTAGGTGGCAGGGAAATGGAAGGAATATGTGTCTTCACACATATTGCAGTGTAGAAAAAAAGGACTGAAAATATAAACAACAGGAAGATTGCAAAGCAAATACTTCAGGAGCCCAACTAAAATTTGCCCTGCTGCACTCTGAGTCAGTATATCTGAGTGCCTGGTAGTAAACAGTTTGAGATGTATCCTCTAATTTATGGATTATTACTATTTACATACGCATATTTTGACAAAGCTGTGGGACAACCTCTCTTCCACTTCTCACTGTCACCTGTCTCAGCATGGCAGAAGCATTTCCTGTTCCACACAACAACCTGCAGTTCTGTCTTGCATATGTCAGAAAAGAAGAAACTCAAACCACAGAGGGGAAAACACGTATCCAACAGGTTGATAACTTCCTACTGGGACAGCCTCAATTCCACATACTTGATGTTTCCTATGAACTACTATAGGCCTGCAAAAGTATCTTGCGTGTACAAATGGGTGGCCTCAAGGATGTAAGTTGAATTCAGGCTGTCAGAATATGGCCAGGAGTGTTCTTTACCACATGAAAAATCAGCCTTTTTATTGCTTCAGGTGTCTTTTTATTTTACTTGCTTCTATCCACCTGTGCCTCTGCCAAGAAAGCAGCCTACCGCAGGTTTGGTTGTGTCCAAGCTCTGGTACATCACATCTGAGGCAATGCCATCTGCACACCCATGTACTCCAAGTCCCCGTGCTAATCACAGTCTTGCCTGCCCTGGACAAGGTGAAACTTGGGCATATAGGCATCCATTGGTCCCTTTACCCTTATTGTTTAGAAAGAAGAGTCCTACATTGGTGTTAAACCTCCTACCTGCACCCACATGAATGAAACTGGACTTTTGTTACTACATCTGTATTTCTAAGTAGGTTGTGGAAAAGGCAAGATTTAATGCTGGACCACTGATTCTCTGTAATGCTAAATTACCAGCAAACTTTTTTGGCATACGTCTGGCCAAGGCCGAGTAACATCTCCACAGCAATGACTAGATACCAGGAGAACACCTAGAACACACCAAGGACTACTTCCAATAAGAAGTTAGATTTGGTTTCTTATCCAGTCTTCCAACACTACCCCAACAGGCTCTACAGCCTTAGAGTCCTCCTCCTTGTCCTTCTGCCATGTCCCTAGCCATGTAACACATCTTCCAGTTTCGTACCATACAATCAAAAGTTTCATGGACCAAAAGAGAGTTTTTGTGTTTTATCAGATAATTTAAAATAAAAAATACACAAAAATCACAACAAAATATTACAGCCACAGTGCAGTACGTACAGCCTCAAGGAGATGCACAGCACAAGCGCCATGTAGGGTACCTGTGTTCAGTGTAGAAACTTAGATTCAGGGCCAGAAAAGAGTCCCTGGCCCTATTCTGTTTGTGGTATAGACATGGCCTGTATGGGTTACACCCAGGACTGGTGAGGAGGAATCAGACGTATTTTTACCCTGTGTGCATTCAAGTGAGGCGGCGACTTCTTCCTGTACGGCAGATGAAATTATTCTGGTGAAAAGCACCTGACTCAAGTTTCCACTGTCCGTCATAACCCAAAAATGAACAAGCAGTTCCTTTTGAGGGGGCTTGCTTCTACCTAGACAGACCACATTTTCTAAATACTGAAGGAAGAGCAGAGGCAACAGAAGTCAGGAGGGAGAGAAACCTGGGAAGAGTTGGCCATTTGTGCTCCCTCCCACAGAGCCAGTTGTGTCTCTGCAAGCAGCCGTGCCAGTTCCTGACCAACATCAATATGTTGATTCTACTTCTCAAAATCACAGGCCTGCTTTGGGTCTGTGTACACACCTCCCAGGCATGTAACTGTGGGCAATTCTCCATTGGTATTGACAGCTGGTGCACTCAACAGCCACACACACAGAGTAGCCAACCCCCCCTCCAGCAGCCCCCTGCGGCAGTGTCATATTGGACAGCGCTGCAATGGAAAGGTTAAAAGAAACCTTGTTGAAAAGAAATGAGAAAGGATTGACTTTGTGTTTAGACAGTGCCCAGGGCTGCAGTGGGATGGGTTTGTGCAGCAAGAGTGGTTGAAACTGCGTCTCTGCTTCCTCTTGTTGGCAGAACAGTGTGAAATTACTGGCTTGGTGGTGGAATTTGACCTTGCTTTTCCTTGTCTGGTTGGGAGACACCCCCCCAAGTTTGGAACATCTGTACATGGAATATGAGGAGGATGATGATATCTTCTTCGCAAAATGGATGAGCAGCTTCTGGGGCCACAACTTGATTGATGAGAATGAGAAAGAGGGTCGAGGCCACAAGAAACATTGGACACGATTCTGTAATGAGAGGAGAGCATCCCTACCGGTAAGAGCTGTGCGCAGTTTTCTCTGTGTGTGCATGTGGTTTATGCATAAATATAAGTTCCATTGGCCCTAGAAATGTATCAGGATGTGTATGGTACACCTTACCAAGTAAGTTCAGTTCCTGCTGGCAGCAGCTGGTTGCTTTTTGGACTAAGCTTCCCACCAGGGTCAGACCTCTGGTGTCTTCGAATACAGGAAAACGGGCAAATTCCAAGATAAATGATGACAGGACCAGAAACATAAGAAGCACGTTATATATGCGTTACAGTGTTTTTCTGTCTGCTTAGCATGACCTGGCAGAGATCAAAACATTTTGCAACCGGCGTACATGAAGACTATCTTTAACAAGTCTGTTCTCATATGTAAAACTATGTAACTCCATAGGTATTGATAGGATTTGGACCTAATTCTGTAACCATATTGTCTCCAGGAAGTTTTACTCCCTGGGATTTAGCGGTTTGCAGGTGCAACTTCTAATTAAGCTGGAGGATGTGGTCTCTTCTGATTTAAAACATCTGACTCTGAAAACAAGGATACAATACATAACAAAGCTTATTAAAATGTGAAGTAAGACTTTAAAGTAGAAGTACATTCTTTGTTCTTAAACTAACAAAATAGTTTGGAAAGGGGCAAAGTTCATGTGCAGAAGCAGGTTTTTAAGGCAGCTCACAACTGTCTGGTGTTGAAAATTAAGTTAAACTGAAAACAGCTTTCACATTCTTCTTTTTACTCAAAGACTGTTGCTTTTATTTCAGCTCTTAGAAGAAAATTTAGGTGGTCCAAACCTGTCTCTTTTTTCCCAAGTACATCAGTTGGCTAAACAAAGATATTATGTTTCCCTAAAGCCATTTTTTACTTATATCCTCAGATCATTTTGGCTGCAACAAAGGAAATGCTAATATATGAAGGAAAAACAGCCAATCTTTCCCAAACTTTTATTTTCAAGCCATGTTATGTTTTCACCTTGCAGTTTCTCTACTGGAACTGCCATGTTCTAAGCTGTGGGATTTTTCATGTTCAAAAAAATTGGCTAAGAAACCGAAAGAGTCCAAAACCACCTCCTCCCTCTTTAAACTCATGTCTGAAGTAACCTTCAGACATAACTTCTGGTCTGATCAGCCACATTTGTTATTTACTGTTACATTTCACCTTGGCCACAGACTGCAAGACAGACTCTGAGCTAGAGCTTTGCTGGTGTATTCCATCAGAACGCTGGAAACATACTATTTATTAGTGTGTAGAGGGGAGGTGTTAATTAATTTTACTGTATATTATTTTTTTCCTTCAGAGATCTATGCATGTGTGATTTCTATACCCCTCAATACAGACTGAAGTGTAAGAATGTACTTTAAATCACTTTCCATTCAGCATGGTGCTGAACACATCTCGTGTATTCTTCTATATTGTGTCTGTATTTATGTGTGCACAGACATTTCATTTGAAGCATGTTCTTATATTCAGTTTGTTCAAAAGCTGTTTAAATACTTAACTAGTAGCTATTCAAATACTTTGCCATAGTTGCATCCCTAAATCCATGCCTTGAATTTTGATTAAGTTAGCTGACAGAAAGGCTGTGACTTTTTGACATTATTGTTCAACAAGTTAAAATTATCATGTACACATATATGTCTGGCTTTTGCATTAATGCTTCACACAAATTTGTCTTGCTCCCTTAGTTTTATATGTAAGATATAAATTTTCACTTCTTTATTTCTCAGTGCCAGAAGTTGAATAGAGGAATGAGAAGGGAAGATTTGTTTGGTGATTTTATGATTTGGGGATAAGTTCTGAGATGAAACTTTTGATTTGAAAGTTGACTAGCTGGTAGTAGAGAGCACCAAAACATGTTGCCTTTAACCAAAGCTAAAAATTAAAACAATCAGCACTAGTGATGCCTTAGAAATACCTTCAGAAAGAGCATCTGGTGGTTGAGAGCAACAGCTTGCTATTGCACCTGGCCGTGTGTTTTTTACAGTTACTACAAATTATAAATACTGTAAGATTCATTATTACAAATGCTAACTATCGTAAGATTCAAAACACTTTTATTGTTATTTAAATATTGTCTTAATTTTATCAGAACCATGCTATTAATCAGGAGGAATAATAACTGAGATTAGAGAGCATCTCTTCTGTAAATTAACCTTCACAGCAGATGACTGTGTACCCTTTTATCTGTTGCAACATCTTAAATTGAAGTAACTCCACTGTTCAGGTGAAAATCAAGTCAGCGGGTTCTGACACAGCTGTTGACAAAAGCTGCAGATACAATGGTACTGCCAAAACAGCACTGCCAGCACACTTTGTCTGGTATCCAAGGCTGATGTGCAGTGCATCAGCAATAGTGCAGCCCTGCCCACATGAACTGCAGCTGCACCAGGAGTGTTTGGGTATTACATAGCAAAATGCTCGCACTATAGCATAAAAGGGGTTTTACATAACGCCGGAAATCACTTTCAGCTCCAAATTGGTGTGTTGGTCTTTGTAGTCTTTCCTGTGCTGTAGTAAGACATTCAAGCCACTGCTCTCACCTCAAATACAATAGTAAACTTCTGTGGCCTCTATCATGGTACAGCCCCCTCCAAAAATAAGTGAAAAGCATTGTAGAATAACTCACAAACTAACAACAGTTTTCATTACTTTTCCCTGACATCTTGGTACACCTCAGAAACATTATTGAGATGAGCTTCACAAAATGCTTTTGCTATTGTCATTCACATTTTGCAGAGGGGAATACAAAATTTTATTCATCCTTCCCCAGGTCACGGGCAAGTCAGGCTAAAACATGCAACTCTCCTGAAAAGCCTCAGAGTTGTATTGGATGCTGTGGGCCAACAGTGAATGTGAAAACTGCCGGGGGAGAACTGTCATCTGTTTCCATCTCCTCTATTTAGCTTGTTCCCCTGGCAAACTTTAGGCAAATTAACTGTGATACCCTTTTTGAAGCCTCCAGCTATGACTTTCCTTGACACATTCTGGTTATCCTGCAGTATTTTGGTTTAGGGCAGTTCTTACCTCCTAGACATTTTGCTGTGGGAAAAAGACAGGAGGCAAAGGAGCGCTGGTAAGGGCTTTACAACCTATACACGTATAAGCCTTCAAATAGGTGTTGCTGCTCACAGGAGAAAATCTGATAAAAACAGCTGAGAGTGGGAGCAGAATGACTGACTGCTGTTGAAGTTACTAACATTTAATTTACGCTGAAGTCAGACTGAACATTTATCACAACATTGTTACTAGAGATCAGTTAGAAACCCAAATATTATTAAGGAATATATGCTTGTTTATAAGCTTTTCAGAAGGAAAGGAAGCCATGG